TTTTGAATCTGTTTTTCATTGTTTGTTTGTTAGATGGTTGCTGGGGATTGAACCTAGGGTGCTTTACCCCTGAACTACAGTCCTTTTTATTTTGAAACAGGGACTCCATAAATTTTTATTTTTTAGTAATGGGGAATGAACCCAGGGGTGCTTAACCACTGAGCCAAACCCCCAACCCTTTTTGAGACAGGGTCTCCCAAGTTGCTCAGGACCTCACTAAATTGCTGAGGGCTTTGAACTTGTGATTCTCCTGCCTCAGTCTCCTAAAATGCTGGGATTACCATGTCTGGCTCCTTAAATCTTATTTCTAATTTATTTTAGGGAATTGGGCACAAGCCTAGGCATGGTGGAGCATGCCTGTAATCCCAAGGGCTCAGGAGGCTGAAGCAAGAGGATTGCAAGTTTGAGGTCAGTCTCAGGTAGGAGGCCCTTAGTTAGACCCTGTCTCAAAAACTAAAAAGGCTGGGTATGTAGTTCGGTGAAAAAATACCCTTGAGTTCAATCACAAGTACAAAAGAAAACAAATTGATTCAAGGAGCCAATTCTTTATAATAAAATCTCTCTCAGTATGTTTGAATGTGTGTATATATTAAAATATATAGCCAGGCATGATAGAATGCCAATAATCCTAGTGGCTTGGGAGGCTAAGGCAGAAGGATTGCAAGTTCAAAGCTAGTCTCAGCAATTTAGTGAGGCCTTAAGCAACTTAGCAAGACCCTGTCTCAAAACAAAAAATAAAAAGGGCTGGGGATGTGTTGCTCAGTGGTTAAGCACCTGTGGGTTCAATCCCTGGTACAAAAATATAAATATAAATACATACACACACACACACACACATCCTGTTGATTCTATTTTTTGTTTGTTTTGGTGTTCTAGGGTTTCAACCCAGGGACGCTTTACCACTGAGCTATACATCTCCAGTTCTTTTTAGTTTTCATTTTGAAACAGGGCTTACTAAATGGCCAAGGTTGGCCTCCAATTTGCAACCCTCCTGTCTTAACCTCCCAAATAGCTGGGATTACAGGTGTGTGCCATTATGCCCAGCTTGTTTTTTCTGTTTTTATGGAGAATATTGACTAATAAATTCAGGATTGATTAGAGTAATTGAGCTGTGTGGAAGCAGTTTTTCTCCAGATCTTGATCTTGGCAGTACCGATACAGTTTTTTTAGGGTGTCGACAAATTGCTAAGGCTGGCTTTGAAATTGTGGCCTCCATGTGCAAAGGCACGTGGCCAGAAATAGTTTATTTTTTAAAGGGCTGAAGTTTATACAATGTGTTTCAGAAAAACTTAAAAATTATGCTTATAAAATTACAATTACAGACATGTGTCACTACGCCTGGTTACCCCCACACCTTTTAAAAAATTTCTTATTTTGAACAGGGCAAGGTAGTATAAATTTGTAATACAGTAAAATTGGAGGCTTAGGTAGGAGGATTGCAAGTTAAAGGCTAGCCTCAGCAATTTAGGGAGGACTTAAGTAAGGTCTGGGGAGGAAGCCCAGCAAGATGGGAATTTGAAGTTTGCCTGGACAACATAGGCAACATAGACCCTATCTCAAAAAAACAAAAACAAGGCGGGTGTAGTGGTATAAGCTTATCATCCCAGAGGCTGGGGAGGTTGAGGCAGGAGGATCACAAGTTCAAAGTCAGCCTTAGCAACTTAGTGAGGCCCTAAGCAATTTAGCAAGACCCTGTCTCAAATAAAAAAAATACAAAGGGATGAGAATGTGGCTCAGTGGTTAAGTGCCCCTGGGTTCAATCCCCAGTAACCCCCCCCCCAAAAAAAAAAAAAAAAAACCCCAAACCAAAACAAAACAAAAACAATTCATATAGATTCAAAAGGAGAGTGAATAAATTTATGGATCTTAATCTGTCACAATCTTTCCTCTGGTCTAAAACTATTTACATTTTCCTTAAAAGCAAAAATATAATTACTCTTTCCCAAGATCGCCAAATGTCTCATCTTATTGTGAGCATCATGCCAAGCTAACATCAGGATAACTTTTTTTTTTTTTTTAAAAGACAGGGTGGCCCAAGTTGGCTTCCAATTCCTGGGCTCAAGTGATCCTCCTGCCTCAACCTCCCAAGCAGTTTAGGACTATAGGTGCACATCATGGTGCCTGGCTCAGGATAATTTTTTTTATTATTATTATTATACTGGGGGTTAAACCCAGGAATGCTTTACTACTGAGCTACATCCCCAACCCTTTTTATTTCATTTTTTAAAATTTAGAGACAGGATCTCACTAAGTTGCTAAGGCTGGCTTTCAACTTGCCAACCTCCTGCCTTAGCCTTCCCAGTCTCAATAAATCACTGAGATTACAGAATTACAAGTATGCACCACTGTGCCTCGCTTCCTTTTTCCATTCAAACCAATACTCAATCCATAATACATGCTGTATACACCTATTTGCCAAACAGGTAATCTCATTTTTTATTTTTCACTGAATGAACAACAGTTACAACAATAACAAAAAACCTCTGTGCTTGGAATAAGTAAATTTCCAAACATTAAGGAGTAGCATCAGTACTTAAAATCAGTACATAAGTTTTATGTGACTTCAAACTCATGAAGATACAACTTTCTATCTCAGTGGAAATTATAATATGGTGGAAGATAAAATGAGTTATGATGACCAAAATTGGATGACAAAGGCTAAACTCAAGTACTGGTTGTTGGAAAGAACAGATGCATGTGACAGCTTGAAAAGATCAAGTTTGGTGATTGTCCAAATGTGGGAAGGGCAGAAGTGAATACAGCCAAGGATGAGGTCTGGGACTTGGCTCATAGCCTGGTAGGAGATCAGGAGAATGGTGAAATAGGCAAATTTGGAGGAAACGGGTCATAAGAATACAAGTTCATAAATGGGCCTTCTAGCCAATGAGGCAGAAACTCTAGATCCAGGAGTCCAGAATAGTTCATTTATTAACTTTTAAAATTTTCTTATGCTGGGTACAGTGCCACAGTCATATAAACTCAGGGACTTGAATGTGTGTATATATTAAAATATATATACACACATTCTGAGGCATGAGGATTGAAAATTCAAAGCCAGCTTAAACAATTTAGCCAGGCCCTGAATAATTTAGTAAGACCCTATCTCAAAATAAAAAATGAAAACGGCTGGGGATGTAGCTCAGTGGTAAAGTACCCTGGGTTTAATCACAAGTACAGAAGGAAAAAAAATTGGCTCAACGAGACAATTCCTTAGAATCTAATATGTAACGTGTGTGTATAAATATATAGCTGGGCGTGGCTATGTACTCCTATAATCCCTGGCATTGGAATTACAGGTGTGGACCACAGTTTCCCTCTGTATATCTACACCACATTTTGTTTATCCATTCATTCATTTACCGGCATTTCCACCTTTTAGCTACTGTGAATATTGCCACTGTGAACTTTGGTGTAGAAATATGTTTGTTCCCTTTTCAATTCTTTTTTAGTAGATACCCAGAAATGCATCCATCACTTACTTTTAGAGGTTTCATTTAAAAAATACCATGAGCAGGGCAATGTGGTGCATGCTTGGAATCCTAGGCACTCAGGAGACTGAGGCAGGAGGATCACAAATTCCAGGCCAGCCTCAACAACTTAACCAACCTAAGCAATTTAGTGAGACCCCGTCTCAAAAAAATGAAAAGGACCGGGATGTGGTTCAGTGCTAAAGAATCCCTGGGTTAAATCCCTAGTACCAGTAAATAAAACAACAACAACAAAAATCCTGTAGTAAGGAATTGTTCCTTTAACAAAGAGTATTTCAACTGCATTTCCCTAGGCCAACAGGAATCTCTCAAACTGTGATGTAACATCATCACTGCATCTGTGAAGCTTACCTTGAGTTACACTTTTTTTGTTTTTGAGTTATACACTATTTTTGTCCATAAGACTAGACTCCAAATTACCAAAGCCAAGATTTGTGTAATCCATCTTTGTGCTACCCCAAAACTGCTAGAATTTTTTTTTTTTTTTGCATACAGTAGGCATTACATGCCTGTGTTAGAAAATACAGTTTCAATGTCTTTTATGGTATGTAAATATACTATGCAAGCCCTCTACCACTGAGCTACATCCCTGGCCCATTATGGTATACGAATAGGCTATTAATTGAATAGTAAACACCAACTTTTGATTTCTAAAATAGGAGTAAGATTTCTTTCAAAGACACCGTCGCCCCCTTCCCCCACCCTCTTTAATCACCAACAGGTAAGTGCTGTACTTATTTATATAAGTGTTGAGTCTCTGAGAGAAAGGAGAAAACTATTAAAGTTTTCTGAGAGACCAGATATTCTTTCCACAATCTGTGTGTATGTGAAGTTGGGGTGGGTGGGCAGGAGTCGAGCTGGGAATTGAAAGAACATTTTTCTGAGTTCAGGTGTTTTCAGACCAACTTTACCAGCCTAGCAGTCGCTTAAGTCCCTCCTGCAAATAAATGTTATGGGATCAGAGCGGCGGCTCTTTCAGACACTGGACGCCGGCAGGCTCGCGCTGAGCCCGGCTGCTCCGGTAGCCGCTTTCCATTGGCCAGGACCGTTTTCAGGTCTTTGGGGCGCACTGGGAACCTCGGACCGGGAATGCCACGGACGCAACAGCCACCCTTACTCCCGGCCTGAGGACGAGCTCCGCGCAGCGCCCTCTCCATCCATCAGTCACGGGACCCGGCGAAGGCGGATCACAGCTGCGCGATCTCGGGATGCGGCGGGGTGGAGGTCGTAGTGCCCGGCAGGGTTCGGGTGAGGACCTTGAAAATAGCTTCGGGGCATGCGCCACTGCGGCAGTTAAAAAACCCCAAACCGACGCCTGGGAGTGAGGAGCAAGGAGGGATGGGGCAGGCGCACTGTGGGGCTTCGCATGCCGGGGCCGACGCTAAGAACCAGTACCGACGCCGAGAGCGCAAAACTTCGATGCGCGGCGCAGGTATGAGGTGCGCAGGTGTGGCCGCAGGCGGGTAACGTCACGTAGCGAGGCTGCGCGTGCGCGGGCGTCGGGGGCGGGGCCTGGAGTTAAATACGGCTGCGGCTCTGCTTAATCCGCTCCGTCCTCTGCTCTTTGCTTTTCTGCTTGGTGTGCTTCCTTCTCAAAGGTAACAGATGTTAGGACTGAGGTGCCACCAAGATAGAGCCTAGGCTCGCATGAACAGGGTTTCGTAATACGTGTCAGGGAATTATTAAAAGCTAGTTGTTGACATGGTGCCTAAATTTCGGGCTAAGTTCTAGTTTATGGGGACTAGTGCTATGGAGAGCCAGAAATTTAAATTCAAGTCCGGGAGTGAATTGGATCGATGTTGCAGTATCTTTTGACTTACTAAGGGCACTTTTTCCCTCTCGAAATTTCATTTAACGATGTTTGATAGAGTTATTGAAAGCAATTTGAATGAGATTGAGAATCTTAGCAGGGAAATAGGCAGAGGCAGAACTCAGGAGTTTGTTTCAGTGTGCATCAAATTAAACAAATAGCAGGAAAAGGAGAGAATGGGTATTATTGTACTTAGCTGAGTCTGATACTGTGAAGTTCAGATATCCTGACTTGTTTGCTAATGTCTGAAACGATATTTCTTGGGTAAATTCTGTGGGCTGCATAGCAACACATAGAGGAGAAAGCTCTCTCTCTTTACATCTGGGCCAGCTGTTTCCTATAGGTGGCTAAAAAAACAAGTGTTTTGGCTAGGGGCGTGGAGCATACCTGTAAGCCCAGCCACTCAGGAGGCTGAGTCAAGAGGGTAGGGAATCGCAAGTTCCAGGCTGGACTGGCAATTTAGCCAGGTCCGTCTCAAAAAACAACCAAAACCAAACCAAAACAAAAAAGGCTAGGGATGTAGTTCAGTGGTAGAGTACCCTTGGGTTAGAGTCCCAGTACTTCAAAAACAAATGAATAAATAAAAGTAAATATTTTGTATTTACAGTTGAATCGCTGCTGATTCTCAGATACAGAGCTTGAATGATATATATCTGCATTTGTTCTCAACAAAATCTGGAAACAAGATGGAAGAAGAGAATGAACAGGTAGGTAAATGCCACCCTTCTTGCCTGCCTCTATTTCTCTTGGGAGTTATTACAGTGGTGTACTGTGAGGAAATTGCATGCAAAATCCATCACATTTAGGCTCTAGCATTTCCAGGAGTCTTAATTGAAACAAGGCTATATATTGATGAAATTTTCTACAGTTGTGGGTATAAAGTTAAGTGTTTTTGTCATCAGTTGGTACTTATTTAAACAAACTGTCTCAGCTGGGCACAGAGGTGCTAGCTACCCTGTTTAAGGATGAAAAATAAAAAGGACTAGGGATGTAGCTCAGTGATAAAGCTCCCTGTATTGAGGAAAAAGGGGTGGGGGAGGAAAACAAACCCAACACTGTCTCTAATGTAAATGAATGGATTGCCTGGAGATGTTTTGTTTTGGTACTAGGGATTGAACTCAGGGGTGCTTTACCACTGAGCTATATCCCTAGCCCTTTTTATTTGAGACAGGGTCTCACTCAATTGCTTAGGGCCTGAATAAATTGCTGTAGCTGGCCTCAGGCCCCAGAATTGCTGGGATTATAGGTTTGTGCTACCAGGTTTGGCTTGGCTAAATTACTTTTGCCACTCCTACCTTTAATTTTTACCAAAGTTGTTTCTCCTCCCTAATCTTCTCCCAAGGATTTCATCTCCCCACTTTTGCCTGGTATTCTAAAGAGAAGCCCACCTAAATGGTTAAGATCTTAATATAGTAGCTATGGGCTCAAGTGATCCTTCTATCTCAGCCTCCCAAGTAGCTAGGTTTACAGGTTGTGCCACCATCCCGGCCTCCTATAAACATTTTAAAATTCGGGCCTTTTTAAAATACAAAAGTAATTCATAAATATTATAAACCTGGGTGTGGTGGCATATGCCTGTAATCCCAGTGACTTGAGAGGCTGAGGCAGGAGGATCAGGAATTCAAAGCCAGCCTCAGCAACTTAGTGAGACTTTGTCTCTAACTAAAAAATAAAAAGGGCTGGAGATGTGGCTCAGTGGTTAAGTACCCCTGGGTTCAATTGTTGATAAAAAAAAAATAATAATAATAATAAAATAAATAAAAATTCACTTTTCTACTTCCTCCCTGGAATTAACCACTGTTCAATTTTGAGTATGTTATATCCTTGTTATGGGAGAAGAGGTGCCTCCAGACAAGGGTTCAAGGAGTTTCCAGAAGGGAGGGGAAATTCAGGACCAGTGGGTTTCTTGGCATATGAAGTAGAAAAGAATTTCAGCACAAGCCAGACAAAGGCTGTATTTAGGGGCTGGACTGAAGGTGCAGCTGCACAGTTTTGCACCTGAGTGTGTGTATTTTCCTCATTTTTCAAAGGCATGCCACTGAAGATTTACAACCATGCTTTCTGCATCTTAGTGGCTCTTGGGGGTTTCTTTTAAGATTCACTGTATCTTTTTTTTATCCTAAATCCCTATCTCACTTCTATTTCCCCACCCTAACGCGCATTGCCTTGGTGATGTAGCTAAATTTCTACCCTGAAAGTGGTTGGACCTAAGATGGCCGCCAGAGTGACTGATTATCTTAGATACCCTCTAACTTCATCATAATACCATCTGCATGTGCTGGAGATGTAGTTCAGTGGGAGAGCACTTGCCTAGCATGTCCCTGAGTTTTATCCCCAGTACTGCAAAAACAAAAATACCATCTGCACGTTAAATGACACCTCCTCCCCCCAGTGCCATTGTTTACAGTTACCATAAAGATGACTGAAAAGGATGTAAGGGGTGGGGGGGAAGGGATGCCACTTGAATGCTCTGAAAAATCTCCTCCCTCTTACCAACCTGTCCTTTCTCCATCACCTGTAGATTTTATACAGCAGATTCTGTTTGAGGAGATTTGAGATAAGGCCCAAGAAAGTTTTTTTTTTTTTTTTAACTATTTATAGTACTGGGGATTGAATCCAGGGCCTTTCACACACCAAAGCAAATACTGTTCCACTAAGCTACACCCCCAATCCTTTTCCTTTTGAGACAGTGTCTCCTAAATTGCCCAGACTGGCTCTGAACTTTTGATCCTTCTGCTAAGGCCTCCTGAGTAGCTGGATTACAGATTTGAGGAACCTTGCCCTGCTAAGGATTTGCATTTTTATTGTTTCCATGCCACTTTTTGGCGGTGTGGGGGAACAGACCACACTTGTAGTACTTAGGCTTTAGATTCCTATTGTCCAATCTGTATATCTGATACACGGCAAGTGTATCATATATACACTTATCATATATAGTGCAACTGAGGAAGGAACTGAATTTATCTTTAAGTTTAAAAAATGAGTATTTGGGGCTAGGGCTGTAGCTCACTGGTAGAGCTCTTGCTAGCTAGCATGTGTGGTCCCTGTGTTGTGGTGCAGGGGATGGAACCAAGGTCTCACATGTGCTAGGGAAGTCCTACCACCAAACTAAGTTCCCAGCCCTGCTTGTATTTTATTTGGACAGTATTACTCTAGATATTAAGAGCCTTTTTGTCTAATGCTTTGTGATATTGGTATATAGGAACAGCAGTAAAAGCTTTCACTGATTAATCTTACAAATTCTGTTTTTTTTCCCGTTGGGGTCTGTTAAAGAAAAAGATTATTTAGGACTCTTGCACATTGCTGACAGGGCTTAACTATGAATAAGTACAGCAAAGGCAGCTGGAAATATGTATCTAAGGAGTAGAGTGTGAGAGAGTAGGGTAGTGGGTGGAAAATTAAGAGGATTCATCAGGATGGGGTAGGTGACAGGGTTCTTGCTAAACAGACTTGAAAGGATTCCTGCTGAGGGCAGACCAGGGTCTTAGATATACATTAAGGATGAGGGATGAAGAACTTGATTGTGGGCTGGGGTTATGGCTCAGCGGTAGAGCGCTTGCCTAGCACATGTGGGGTGCTGGGTTTGATCCTCAGCACCACATAAAAATAAAGGTATTGTGTCCAACTAAAACAAAATATTTAAAAAAAACTTGATTGTGAGGGTGATTAGATATCCAGTGGGTGAGATTTTCTTTTAACTGATTTAGCAGAATTCTTACTAAAACTGGGCTATGCAGGCTAAAGATTGAACTGGGACTAAGGTCAAAGTCTGGTAGAGAAGTAGTCATTGAGGAACCTGAGAGAGGTTACTGGAGAGTCTTCACAAACATTTTCTAGTCTTCTAATTAGACCACGGGCTTTGGCAGTTGACTCCATAAAGGCCCTCTGTTTAGGAGGCTTCTAATTGTTTTTATTCAATGCATCATTTAGTAATGCTCCCTTCAGCTGAAACTAAGCTAGGGGAAGGACCTAGCCTGATTCTCACCTGCTAAAATGCAGGAGGGGAACCGTGGAGGAGATATGATGTTGCCTAATGATGTTAGGACAGGGGTCTTTGATGACTCGTGTATTCTCCATAATGATAGTTCTCCCTGGATTTAATTTCTGAAGTCATGCATGATTAAGAACTCTTCTTTTTTATTTAAAAACTTTCAGTGCAATAGTGCGATTGATGGTAATTTTGAAGAAGTTTGTCCTGAGAAAGTAATTAAGTTTAAACCTCCACTATACAAACAACGATACCAGTTTGTTAGAGATTTTGTGGATCAACATAAACCCAAGAAGGTAGGTATCTTTTTGCCTACATATAACTATTAAGACTGTCCTATTATATTGTCAAATACACTAGTAAGGAAAGACTTTTTAAATTTAATTTTTTATTTTTGTAAGAGAAAGGTGTTGCTGCATTGCCCAGGCTTATTTTAAACTTGTATGCTTAAATGATTCTCCTGCTGCAGCCTCCCCAAAATTGAGATTACAGTTGTGCCCAGACATCCCCCCCCCCTTTTTTTTTCTCTTGCAGTACTGGGATTGCACCCAGGGGTACTCTATCATTGAGTTAAACCTCAGCCCTTTTCATTTATTTTGAGGCAAGTCTCACTAATTTGCCCAGTTTGTCCTCAAATATTGAGCCTGTCTCAGCTTCCCCAGTATCTGGGATTAGAGATGTGCATCACCACACCTGCTAGGAGATCTTTTTCAGAAGGATTTTTGCAGTGGGGAAAATACCTTGACTCGAAGATGCAGTATCTGAGGTAAGCAAAAGTTTTTTTTTTTTTCTTTATAGGAAAGAGTCAAGAAAGTTACAAAGTAGGAAAGTAACTAGTAGTAAGAAAGGATAGTAAGGTGTGTGTGTGACTCAGTGGTAGGGCGCTGGCCTAGCACATATAATGCCCTGGGTTCTATCCCTTAAAAAAATAGCAAAAACAAATAAAGAAAATTTACTCTAACCAGGTTGATTATGGGGAGGAATTATAGGAAGATTTTTTTTTTTTTTTTTTTAGAGAGAGAGGAGAGAGAGAGAATTTTAATGTTTATTTTTTAGTTTTTGGCAGACACAACATCTTTGTTTGTATGTGGTGCTGAGGATCGAACCAGGGCTGCTTGAGCCACATCCCCCGCCCCCCCCCCCTTTTTTTTTTGGTACTAGGGATGTTTGAACCCAGGGGTACTTAACATAATACTGAGCCACATCCTCAGCCCTTTTTATTTTTTGAGACAGTGTCTTGCTAAGTTGCCAAGGCTGGCTTTGAATTTGCCATCCTCCTGCCTTAGCCTCCCAAGCCACAGGGATTACAGGTATGCGCCACTGCACTGGGTGAAAAATCTTGATTTTTGCAGTTGAAAGTGATCTAATTGTTTCCATATTTCTAAAGTGCTTAGTTAGAACATCAGGCAAACTGATATTATGTTCATAAGTACTGTGGTTCTTTTAAATTAGATAATAGTAAGTGAGCCTTGATGGTGTATGCCTTTAGCCCCAGTCACTGGAGGCTGACACAGGAGGATTGCTTGAGTCCAGGATTTCAGTGGCAGCTGGGCAACACAGCCAGACTCTGACTCAAAAAAAAAAGTAACAAATTGGATGATAATAGGTCTGCTCATCAACCTCAGGGGAAAGTCATGATTTCAGAACATATACTTGTTGCCATCTGTTAGAATCTGTAAACAAGTCAAAATAACACCTGGCATTTTGCCAGGGGAATGTTAGAGTTCGTAAACAAGTCTGGATGGTGCCTGGCAAAATGCCAGAGGGAGTGGTTTGAGAAGTAACAAAAGCTAGCCATTAAGTGTGGAGATTCCTTATTGGTTGACTGATGTATCTAGTTTATGCTAATTAGATAAGCTGTGTGGAATGTATAAATACTGCTCCTGTCCTGCAATAAACGGCTCCCACTCCTGCTGTATCAACGTACACAAGTTATTCGTCACCCCCCTGATTATTCTGCTGCAGCCGTACTCCGGCAGCCATCCTAATGGGTTTGATGCTCTGGCTGTGGACTAGTTAATGGTAAAGTGAATTTCTTGAAGAAAGTTTTTTTTTTTTTTCCCCTTGATGTTGAAAACAGTTAAGATTCCTTACACTATAGCTGTTTCTGCACATGTGCACAAAGGTGCAGGTTTTATTTATGTCTTTGTAGCCATGTAGGCACATGCATTCAATTGAAGCATCTGAAATGTCAACAACTCAAGAGTTCATTATGGGATATCATATGGTTTGTGATTGTTATTTCAAATAAACTATTCAGAAATGAATGAAACCAAGTTTTAGAGAGCTCAGTCTGCTGAAGTGTGATACTAAGAATATTTGACTCCCAAGTTCTGATTCTGAATGGGAAAACTGAGTATATATCTAATCTTTCTGCCTTTCTCATTAGTCAAATACTTATTTGTGGTAGGGGCTGTGGCTCAGTGGAAGTAGTACTTGCTTAGTTAGCATGATTGAGCCATGGGTTTGAACCAGAGCACCACAAAACAAATAACTGGAATACTTATTTGTCTACAGGCTTATGAAATTCAAATTATTATTATTTTTTTTTGTCAATGTTATTCTTTCCCTTTTACTCCTCACCCCTGTACTAGGGATTGAACCCAAGGGTGCTTTACCACTGAGCTACATCCCCATCCCTTTTTATTTTTTTTAAGACAAGATCTTGCTAAGTTGCTAAGGCTGGCCTCAAATTTAGGATCCTCCTGCCTCCTAAGTTGGTGGGAATAATAGGCATGTGCCACCATACCTGTCTTGGTGAATACTATTTTATAAAAAAAAAAAATGGTCCTGCATAATAGTTTCATTGTGGTTTTATTACTGACACACAATCCCCCACTCTGTTTTTTTTTTTTTTGTTGTTGTTTTTCATACTTTTTCTGGTTACAAATGTCTTTGAAATAACATTCTGTCTCATCTACAGGTTGCAGACCTGGGATGTGGTGACACAGAGCTCCTAAGGCTGCTAAAAATCTACCCATGTATTCAACGGCTTGTTGGAGTAGATATCGATAAGGAAAAATTGCAGTCAAATGGGTAATACTTAGTGTTAGATTTGAATATGGTTCATCCCCCAGAGTTTCATATGGTGGTGCTAAAGTGAAACAGCCATGAAGAAGTGGGGCCGAGTGGAACTCACTTAGGTTCTGGGGGCTCTGTTCTCATGAATGAATTAATGTCTGCCTGCCTCCCTCTAGAAAAGAGGGCTGTGTCTCATGATTGGATTTAGTTCTGAGGTTGGGTTATGAGGCCATTCCTTGTACTTGGCACCTTTATGCTACCATTTCCTTTTTCATTTTTCCTATATTTATGTTAGATATTCACAGATTATTTTGAGAATGTTTTTCTTCTAAAGAACAAAAAACTGAAAAGTCACTGATCCAAAATGAACCAGAAGACCAAAAATATTAAGAGAACAATATCAAATATTCAAAATCTTTTTTTTTTTTTAAAGAGGGAGAATTTTTTAATATTTATTTTTTAGTTTTCGGCGGACACAACATCTTTGTATGTGGTGCTGAGGATTGAACCCGGGCCGCACGCATGCCAGGCGAGCGCGCTACTGCTTGAGCCACATCCCCAGCCCTTCAAAATCTTATTCTCTTTTTTTTAGGGGGGGGGGTACTGGTGATTGAACCCAGGTTGCTTTACCACTGAACCACATCCCAACTCCTTTTTATTTTGAGATAGGGCCTTGCTAAGTTGCTGAGGCTGGCCTTGAACGTGGCATTCTCCTGCCTTAGACTTCTGGGTCATAGGGATTACAGGTATGTGCCATCCTGCCTAGCCAAAATCTTGTTCTCATTGCCCAGTAATTCCCCAAAATGAGAGCAAATTGCCCTATGACCCAGTGTTTACTACATCAAGACAGGAGAATGGACTGAGTCAAACTTAGATTAATGTAGGTAGAAGAATAAGGATTTGAGTTCTCTCTCTGAAGAGAACTTTTTTTTTTTTTTAAATATGGTGCTAGGAATGGAACCCAGAGCAAGCACTCTACCACTGAGCTATAGGCTCAGACCAAGAGTTTCTAAATGGATTGTGTTCAGAACGTTTCTTATGTGACAATTCTTTTGCAGGCATCAGTTGTCTCCCTATTTGGGGGAGTTTGTAAAGCCCCGAGATCTGGATTTGACTGTTATCTTGTATCATGGCTCTGTTGTGGAGAGAGATTCTCGTTTGCTTGGATTTGACTTGATAACATGCATTGAATTGTAAGTTATAAACTGTTAATTCATTTTTTTTTTTTTTTTTTTAAATAAGAAGTATGAAAACCAGGTATGGTGGTGCTTGCCTGTAATCTCAGCCAATTAAGAGGTTGAGGTAGGAAGATCACAAGTTCTAGGTCAGCCTGTACAACTTAATGAGATCCTATCCCAAAATTTTAAAAAAAATAAGGCTGGAGATGTGGTAGAATGTCATTTAGTTCAATCCTCAGTATCAAAAAAAAAAAAAAAAAAAAAAAAAAGAAAAAAGAACTAGGCTCTTGGTGTTTTCTTTTTTTAGTACTGGGAATTGAACCCAGGGGCACTTTGCCACTGAGCTACAGCCCCAGTTCTTTTTATTATTTTGAGACAGGGTCTCACTAAGTTGCCCAGGCTGGCCTCAAACTTGTAATACACCTGCCTCAGCCTCCTGAGCTTTTGGGATTATGGACTTGTGCCACCATTTCCGGTTGGTGTTTTACATATTTAGGCTTTATATTTGTAAAGAAAAATGTTCATCAGTTGGGAATATCTTTTTACTCTCCTTTGGCATTTTACTTGGGAATTCTAAAAGTGCAGAAAAGTTCCCAAAAAATAGAGTGCCAAGAATACCCACATACCCTTTATCTAGATTCACCTGTGAATGTTTTACTCCTTTTGTTTGCAATTGTACTTGTGTATTCTCCCCACCTATCCAGTTTTTATGGAACTAATTAAGGGTAGGTTTTACACATCATAGCCCTTTGCTCTTGTAAACACTCAGTTTGTATTTCTAAGACATGGGGTTATATGTAACTAGCCTTCTTTTTTTTTTTTTGGTACTAGGATGGAACCCAGGGGCGCTTTACCACTGAGCCACATCCTAGCCCTTTTTATTTTTTATTTTGAGACAGGGTCTCACTAAACTGCTGAGGCTGGCCTTGAACTTGTGATCCTCTTCCCTCAGCCTTCTGAGCTGCTGGGATTACAGGTGTGCACCACTGGGTCTGGCCCTGCCCTTTATTCCTGAAGAATACATGTGAATTATTTTGTAGAAGAATATCCCTCAATCTGGGCTTATCTATTATTTCATTTGATTTGGGGTAGGCTGTTTTTGAGGGGAGGGGCTGGGGATTGGATTTAGGGCTTTGTGCTAAACAAATGCTCTACCATTGAGTGCCACTCCCAGCCTCAGGGTATCCATTTTTGGCACTACCAAGAAGTGATGTGTATTTATACGGGGAAGGTACAAACTCAGATAACATGTTTTTAGGAGTATGATAGAGTCCCATAGAGCACAGCAGAGGACCTTGGTTAAGGGAACACTATGGGTAGAGTTGTGGGTAGGGAAAGATTAGAATATGTGAATCTTGTTTTGTTCTTGTGTCATAGCATTGTTGCATAGTTGAAGAATAGAGAAATTGATTTTCCAGATGGTCACTGTTTTTACTAAATCAATTTGGGAAACATTTGTCAGTGAAGCTACTTTAATTATCTTTCCCATTAACCATTTTAGAATAGAACATTTGGATTCAGATGATCTGGCTAGATTTCCCGAAGTGGTATTTGGGTACCTGTCTCCAGCCATGATTGTCATCAGCACACCAAACTCTGAATTCAACCCGCTGTTTCCCACGGTGACCCTAAGAGATGCTGATCATAAATTTGAGTGGAACAGAATGGAGTTTCAGACCTGGTAAGTTCAGAAGGTTTCTGTTGTTTTTTTAAATCGGTTTTTAAAGTCCTAGGCAGTAAACCCTGATAGCTCTCTCTTACCTAAATTGTTTCTATTTTCTTTGGTACTAGGGATTGAACCCAGGGACGCTTAACCACTGTGATATATCCCCAGCTCTTTTTATTTTTTATTTTGAGACAAGGTCTTACTAAGTTGCTTAGGACCTTGCTGAGGCTGGCTTTGAACTTGTGATCCTCCTGTCTCAGCCTCCCAAGCCTTTGGGATTATAGGCATGTGCCACTGCATTTGGCTTTTCCATATTTAAAAAATTTTTTTTTTTTAGTTGTAGATGGACACAATACCTTTATTTATTTGTTTTTTATGTGGTGCTGGGGATGTATCATAGTACCTCATGCATGCTAGGCAAGCACTGTATCACTGAGCCACAACCCCACCTCTGGCTTGTCCATATTTTTGTGGTAACTTGGAAACCAGCCCTATGTTGGCTGCTCCTGTGTCATAGAAATCAAACAAACCTTTTGTGGCATTGTGTGGTACTGTGAGGATGTGTAACAAAGTATTTTGATTCATTATATTTATCTATAAAACTATTAACTAGAATTTACTTAGCAATAATCTAATTATTTAGCAATAACTTTGTTTAGTAAAATGATTTCTATTATTTTGATTTCAGGGCCTTACAAGTGGCAAATCGTTATCATTACTCTGTGGAGTTTACTGGCGTAGGGGAACCACCAGCTGGAGCTGAGCATGTTGGCTATTGTACCCAGATAGGTGTCTTCCGGAAAAATAGTGGGAAGGTAACAGAATTGTGCTTTCCAGAGCAGCATGATCAACATGTTTATGAAACTGTGAGTATTTGTGAGGTAGCTGTCAGGGCAGAAGTACATTAATACAAGTTCGAGGTCAACCTCAGCAACTTAGTGAGACCCTGTCTCAAAATAAACAGGGCTGGAGATGTAGCTCAGTGGTAAAGTACCCCTGGGTTCAACCCCTAGTACTCCCAGCCCCCCCAAAAAGATGTTGAACTTTGTTTTTGTTTTTGGTAAGTGTCCCCAAAGTAAAGATAAGTGTACATGATCTTATTTTTTCCTGGTACTGAGGATAGAACCCAGAGCCTTGCACATGCCAGGCGAGTGCTTTATCACGGAGTTATATTCCCAGCCCTTATGACTTATTTTGAGGCTCATAGGAAGGTCCTTTAGGACTCTCGAATGCTAGTAGAGTTAGTCTAAGGCATCCTTTGGGCTTGTCTGGCCTCTTGGTCTTTCTCAAGGTATAATACAGAGAACAATCTTCTGCTGGGGTCTTGTTAGAGTACTTCAAAAGCCTTCTTCGTGAGCTCTCAGGATTATCAGCAGTAAAGAGAAAGCCAGCAGTAGCTTCTTTCCAGTCAGGAAATGACTATTAGAACTGAGCTTCCAATAGCTATGTATGGTGATAACAAGCCTGTGATGCCAGCAATTTAGGAGGCTGAGATAGGAGAACTGCAAGGTTGAGGCCAGCCCAGGCAACTTAGGGATACACTGTCTCAAAATCAAACAAAAAGGCTGGGAATGAAGTTTAGTGGTAGAATGTTCCTGGGTGTAACCCTGGTGTTGCACAAAACAACAAAAACAGGCTCTGGGCTGTGTAGCTCAGTGGTGGAGTGCTTGCCTTGCTTGTGCAAAGCCCTGGGTTCCCTTGCCAGCACACACATGCACACGAAATATAGTTGATCTTCCCAGAGAAACACATTTTTTCCCCTTAACTGAACCCTTTCTTTTTTTTTTTTTTTTTCAATTATTTTTTTAAAGTCAGGGTCTTGTCCTGCCCAGCATGGCCTCAATCTCCTCTTGCTTCCCAAGTGGCCGATACTCTAGGCATGTGCCACCATGCCCAATTTGAACTGTTTTTTTTCTTTCACCCTTTTCCTTGTAATACTAAGTAGAAATATTGGGTTAGTATGAATTGGTAAGACCTGGCTAGGGGACAGCTGATTATCAGAATTGAAAGTAAACAAGATAGTTAATATCAGTATGTAAGTTAGTTTGACTCCCTTTATAATTGAATCATTACAATGAGGATTTGACATACACCCCATATGTATATATAATTAATTCTCATGTGACAAGAATTACTGATGGCTTTGGAAAGTTTTCCTACATTCTGTCTTCTTCTGTTCAGGTTTATAAGACCTCCTACCCGAGTTTACAGCAGGAGAAGATGCTCAAATTTGTATTGGTTGGGGAAGTGTTGATACTAGTGGAACGGCTGAGATTGAGACAGCAGCGAATGCTGCGAGAACAGAAGGACTTGTGCAATGACCCAGACAACACTGACTCTTCTGGTCCGCCCCAAGTACTGTTGGGAGCAGTCTTCACAGAGGCTGAAGAAGCCAGGATAGAGAATTCTCCAAAACCCTTCTGTGAAGGAGATAAGTTTTTCGTACCCCTGCAAAGACTCCTTGCTTATCCCAAAGTGCACCGCTTACGTGTGACTGAGGAGAGGATGAGGTCACTCATCTCAGACTCAGTGCAGCTGAGCAGTGATGGTTCTGCAGTCATGGACGACCTGTATAAATCTTGGGATTATCAGTTTGAAGATTATTGAGCCATCTGCATTTCCTGAAGTTCAAGGACTCCATGATAGTTTGGCTTACTTAGAATTTAAACTTTGTATTGTCATAATTCAAGTAACATTTTAAAAGTTTTAACACAAGACACTCCTAAACTGGTGGACAGATACGCCTGACTGCACTTTACCTGAGAGAGGTTTTAGGGTTTAACTAAATGCAGTGTGTTTTCCTTTATAAGTTGGAATTTTTCTTTGTGTTCTCAAGAATGAAGAAATTGGATATGGTGATGTACTAATTTTGAACTCACCCTTTTTTTGGTGTTAGAGCCATGTGTTGAAGTAGCATTAAAATTTTTTAAAGTGATCAAATACACTGTTTAAAACCTATTCCCAGGGGTTATGAGTTGCTTTAAAATCTTTCTAGGATTATTTGGGCCAAATTTTTACCTATTATACTTGGCTAAAATGTCATACAAAAAAAGAATGCAGATGTTTGAAGGGTGCAGAAGTCTCTTCATGATGTCACCACTGTCCATCACTTCATCATGAGGAACCGGTGGTTTAATGAGTTTTTCTGTCCTTTTCTGGCATAGGAATCCAATGGTAAGTCAAGAGGTCCACCTCTGGGACCCCAGTGTCTGTGTTGCTATTGTGGTTTACCTTAGGGACAGAAATAGAGGTTTGACTTCCAGCTACCACTTGTATTTTCCATACCAGCAGAAAGAGAGGAAAAGGGAGAAGTGGCATGCCAGCTGCCTAGTATGATTTGCTGCAAGTTGGGAACATACTTCCTGTTGACTAGAATGAAGTGTATGGCCAGGGAAGCTGGAGTGTATGTGTCTGTGTTTGGGAGGCCATGTGCATACTTGTGGTCTTCTAAGGAACAAGGGGAGAATGTATATCTGTGGCAAATGGTATCACACCTGGAATATCCTGACTACCTGGAGATGGGCCTTGTGGCAGAACAGAGTTAGTCCCTGGGCAAGTCCTCCTGTGGGAAGGCCTCCTCAAGCTGAGCTTTGGAGGGTTAATCTGAAAAGTGGATTTGGTGACAGTGGGGAACAAAGAAGGGATTCTAGAAAAGTCTTAACCACATAACCACTGCTACCCAGCTGATTCTCCTTAAATTTCATAAACTAATCCCCACCTACTTCATCTATGTTCAGATGTGCACATGATTTAAGAGATTTGTATCCTTCCCAACCCCATCCCCAAATCCCTCTGTCTTCACCTTTCTAGGCCTCTGCACAAGTTTCGCCTTGGGGCTCCCTTCTTTGTTAGGGCCACATTTTCTATCAGGGTCAGCCCTTTCATATTTCTCCAAAGTTGACTATGTTCATCTAGAAACTGAGGGTACCCAGGGATTGAACCCAGGGGTCTTAACCACTGAATCACATCCCCAACCCTTTTAAAAAAAACATTTATTTTTATTTTTATTTATTTTTTATTAGTTGCATATGACAATACAATGATCTTGACACATCATACATTTTAATCAAATGGGGTATAATTTCTCATTTTTCTGAGAGTACAGGTTGCAGAATCACATTGGTTATACAGACATGGGTATACATACAGCAATACTAGTGTCTGTTTTATTCTGCTGCCCTTCCTATCCCCTCTTCCCTTCTCCTCCCCTCCCATCACGTCTCTCTACCCAATCTAATGTGACACATTTCTTCCCCCCCCCCCACCTCATCCTAAATGTATTTTGTATAATGATGAGGATCTTCTTCCATCTTCCGTGCAATTCCCCTTCTCTCTCCCTTTCCCTCCTACCTCTCTTCCCTATCTAGAGGTAATTTTCTTCTCATGCTCTTCCTCCCTACTCCATTTTGAGTCGCCTCCCTTATATCAGAGAAGACATTCGGCATTTGTTTTTTAGGGATTGACTAACTTCACTTAGTATAATCTGCTCTAATGCCATCCATTTCCCTGCAGATGCCATGATCTTGTTATTTTTTAGTGCTGAGTAATATTCCATTGTGTATAAATGCCACATTTTTTTTTTTTTTATCCATTCATATATTGAAGGGCTTTTAGATTGGTTCCACAGTCTAGCTATAGTGAATTGTGCTGCTATAAACTGAGCCACATCCCCAACCTTTTTTTTTTTTTTTGGGGGGGGGGGGGGAGAGAATTTTTTAATATTTATTTTTTGTTCTCGGCGGACACAGTATCGAACAAACAAAGGATCAAACCCGGGCCGCACGTATGCCAGGCGAGCGCGCTACCGCTTGAGCCACATCCCCAGCCCCCCTTTTTTTTTAATATTTATTTTTTTTTAGGTGTAGATGGACACAACACAATGCCTTTATTTTTATGTGGTGCTGAGGATCGAACCCCGGTCCCGCCCGTGCTAGGCGAGCGCTCTACAGCTGAGCCACAATCCCAGCCCCCCTCCCCCGCCTTTTTTTTTTAAATTTTGAGAGAGGATCTCACCAAGTTGCTTGGAGCCTTGCTAAATTGCTGTGATTGGTTTTGAACTTATGATCTTTCTGCCTAGCCTCTGGAAACACTGGGATTATATACTGCCACCACGTCCAGTGCTTACCCAGAAAACTTTTAAGTGCTCAGGCTGACATGGGGGCTGGAGCTACTTTCTCCTGGATGCCCCATCTCTGTACCTTCTATACCTACATTCTCCCCTACTCCCAGGCCCCCCTGCCAGGTAAGCTTTCTAAAATTGAGCCATCTTCTTAGCCCAGACCTTTGTTCTAAACGGAGTCACCTTTGCCCTTATAGCAGCATAGAAATGGTGGTCTTTGTATAGGGGAAGTAATTTAGAGGTTAAAATCCTTACTGCTATAAATGCAGAAAGCAGCTGGCTGGAGTCCTAAGGGAATTTAACCCCATTTATGTTGGCATAGGCTAAATATGTCATTTGATATATGTCATCTGATGTGGTGTGTTAGTCTCATAGCAGTTCATATTGCAGACCTAAAGAGTTGAGGATAATTTTTTATAATACTGGGGACTGAGCCCAGGGATGCTGTATTACTGAGCTATATCCCCAGCCTTTTGTTTCCAGTTTTGAGAAAGGGTCTTGCTAAGTTGGGGAGTTGGGCCTCAAACTTGTGATCCTCGTGAGTCACATCCTCATCCTTTTTTAAAAATTATTTTGATTAGAGTAGAATTAGAGATGTGTGTCACCACATTTGGCAAGCATTATCATTCTTCAAAATAGTTTCTGAAATCAAATAGTCATACCCGACAGCTTAAACAAGCAGTGAGTGGCACCCCACATGTAAGTGTGCAGCCCCCTCTAGAGTGTGAGTCATGTATAGCTTGCAGCCTGGTTTGTCTGAAAGACACTAGAGTGGGGACCTACTGAATGAGGTGTCTCATTCAGTCTTTGTTAAACCTATCACTAGCTGTCCCTTCATTCTTCCTCATAGGGCATTGAATTGCTCTCCCTGCCCCATGATGAATGGACTCTCTCCTTTCCTAGTTCAGTTCTGAGACTATCACCCCGAGGCCCTAGGAGCTTTCTGAGAAATCAGAGACAGGAATTCCTTGAGGTTTTTTTTTTTTTGGTACCAGGGATTGAACCCAGGGGTATTCAACTACTGAGCCATATTCTCAGTCCTTTTCATTTTTTTGAAACAGGGTCTTATTGAGTTACTTAGGGCCTTGCTAAGTTGGCTGAGGATGGCCTTGAACTTGACAGCTTCCTGCCTCAGCCCGAGCTGCTGGGATTACAGGTGTGTACCACCACACCTGGCTCCTTGAGTTTTAGTCTTAATGCTAACTGCACATCTGGAATTTCACAATTATGCTTTGTTATAAGTGGGATTTTTTTGGCCCTTATCTGGAGAAGTTTATCCTTTTTTTTGGGTGCTGGGGATTGAACCCCAGTCCTTGCACAAGCTGAATATGTGTTGAGGTGCTGATCTACACTGGAGCCAGAATTTTTTTTTTTTTTTTTTTTTTTTAAGTGGGGTCACTTTCTCCAGAAGGGATGGGTTTATTTTATTTAGTGTGGTGCTGGGATTAAACTGAGGGCCTCACGCATCCTATGCAAGCCCTCCACCACTGACCTACATCCCAGCCAGAGGTTTTTAGTGCAATTTGTTTTTCTTTCATTTGTTCTTGTTGGGGAACTTTTTCTTTTTTTTCTTGTAGGGGTGGTTACTAGAGGTTGAATCTAGGAACACTTTACCACTGAGCTACATCCCCAGCCCTTCTGTATTTCAAGACAGCAACTTGCTAGTTGCTGAGGGTCTCACTAGGCTGCCCAGGTTAGCCTTGAACTTGTGATCCTGTCTCAGCCTCTGGACTTGTTGGGATTACAGGTGTGTACCATCATGGCTGGCTTGTTGGGATCATCCATTGTATGTTGTGTAAAGTGTGTTCACTGCTGTCACAATCCCAGTGCTCAGCATAGGTTTTAGATAATGGGGTCTGAGAAGCTTCTGGTTGCCGGGGTTATTGGAGGGGCTGTAGGAGAAGAAACATTTTCTCTGAAGTCTAAGTTCTGCTGAACTTTAAGATGTCTTAAAGTGCAGGGACCTTGATGGACAAGATAGTTACTGCCTTTACTTCCAGCTCCTTTTCCAAAAAAGCAACAACCCTAAATACCTGTTTTTTCTTCCTTCCTTCCCCAGAACTAGGAATCAAACCCAGGGTCTTATGCATGTTAGGCAAGCACTCTACCACATAACCCCAGCCCTCAAAATCCTACCAGTTAAGAACGGAAATAATTTAGGGTGTACTGGAGATTGAACCTAGGGGTGCTTTATCACTGAGCTCCATCCCCAGCCCTTTTTATTTTGAGACAGGGTCTTGCTATGTTGCTGAGGCTGATCTTGAATTTGTAATCCTCCTGTCTCAGCCTTCTGAGTCAGTGGGAGTATAGGCATGCACCACCACACTTGCAAGAACTGAAAACTTGAAAATAACCTTAAAACTTATATTACAAAAGTAAGACTAAGACAGTTCAGAACTATATAGAATTCAAAATAAACTTGGTAATACCTTATGTAACATTTTTACCTCCTTTGCTTCCTCCCCCACCCCAGTACTGGGATTAAACCCAAGGGTGCTGCTCGCCCACTGAGCCACATCCCCAGCCCTTTTTATTTTTTGAGACAGGGTCTTGATTGAATTGCTCAGGCTGGCTTAGAATTTGTGGTCCTCCTGCCTTAGCCTTAGCAATATATAGGCTTTATGTTTTTATGGTTTTTTTTTTTTTTTTTTTTGGTGGAAGAGGGACACAGTGCCACTGAGCTATCTCCAGTCTTTTTTTTTTTTTTTTTTTTTGAGACGGGGTCTCATTAAACATTAAATTGTTCAGGTTGGCCTAGAATTTGTAATACACCACCTCAGTCTCCCAAATTGCTGGGAATACAGGTGTGTGCCACCATGCCTGGCTCAGCAATATACTT